AGTATTCAACAACTTAAACAAGACTGTCAAGATGAGTTGCAGGAGATTCTGAAGCCATCTGGAAGCCATAGTTGAAGCCAATGGTGATTTTATTGAATAAATTTACTCTTTAGTATTTCAAGATTTTTGTATAATTCTGTTAAAATGAGATGTCAGTGTTATTTTCATTTTAGCATAATTTAGACAACTTATCCATTCCAGTCTCTGTCTGTGTGTGTGTGTGTGTGTATATATATATATATATATATATATATATGTATGAGGTGATGATTCAACAGAATATATATATATATATAAATAAATGGTAAATGAATATTTACTTTTTTACTCTTATCAGTATCAACATACAAACTTAGCAAAACATGTCACACATGATAGTGCTAAAAACTAAGATACTGTTTATATATGTAGAGTAGATTTGTCTTTCATTGCAATTCCAACTGGAATTGCTTGTATTGATACCTTTTATAATAAAGGCATTTCAATAAATATAGGTCAAATATAAAAATATATTAAACTCCTACAATATTGAACAGTGCTTCACAATCCTGACGAGAGTAGAGGATAACATTTGTGCTGATTTGTTCTTATTTCAAAGAAATGTGTCTGCTCTCATATACAGTTGAAGATTTTCCCTACCAAAATTAGTGAGTCTTGAATTATCAATTTTTGAATAAGTATAAGCAGTACATTTTTACAAAAAGAGTTATCCAGACAAGTGAGATATACATTACTAAGTAATGTTGATAGTTTTAAGTGATGAAAACTAGTGAAATTTAAACTGTACAAAATTAGATATATAACTAAATGTAAAATTAAAGAATTTAATTTTTTTTGTAACTCTTTTCAAAATTAAGCATGTTAAGTGTTTGGAAAAGTGTAGGAGAGAACTTACTGTTACATTTGTTTTTTTAAATATTTATTTTCAAGTCTCAAGACAAAAAATTAAACATGGTAAAATATCAGTTAAAAAGAATAATGTAGATTTGTAGATCAAAAAATTCAACAATGATAACAACAAAATTTTTAATTCAAGTAGAATTTTAAAATAAAAGCAAAAAACTGACAAGATATTGTTGTTAATAAATCACTTCATTTCATGATAATGCAATATAGATGGGCATGGACCTGAAAATTCTCACTAATGTGAGAATTTTTGGGTCCATGCCCAATGTCCATGGAATTTGTGGCTGACCCACTTCCACCCAATCTGTCCAAACATCAGATTTTAATCACTTTTTCGTCAAGCCAAGAAATTTTCAGTACCCCCCTTCATATAAACAGACATAAAAATACAGAATCCAGAACAAACCTATAAAACTTTTAAGACCCATTAATCAACAAGCAAACAAATGAGAAAAATCCTTGCTGTAATAAAAAATACATTTTTCAGAAGTACTGAAAATCAAAACATTATTTCCTCGCACACACATAAAATGAAAGTAAATGTAAACAATATTTCAGGTAATAAATTTTAATAAATTTTCTTTCAGGTTAAAAAGAAAGAAAAAAAGTATGGAAAATATTTCCATAATGTAAACACATTTGTTCTTTAGCTCAATAAAAAGCACTTGTTAATAAAGCAGGTGTGGAATAACACAGTATTCTAGAGCACACCAATACGAAATGGGATCAGAAACTAATCCCACTAAATGAGATCTAGAATGAGTCACAAACATTACAATGAGAAATTCATGAAAGTTATAATTCATACTATAAGGCCATTTTTTTTCTCTTAATAAATTTGTTTTGGGATTTATAATGGCTGGAAAATTGGAGTCTTAAATTGGAGTGAAAGAAAAAGTAAGTTTACAGTATTTTTTTTTTCTTGCTCATTTAAAAAAATTCTTTTGTAGAAGAAAAAAATAATCAGTGTGAAAAGATTCATTTTCTTGTGTAAGTCAATGCAAAATGTCTCAGAGATAAACAATGCACACGATTGTAATTTTACTTTAAAAGAACTCTTGGCAGTTTTCTTATTTTGCTTTTTAAAAATAAAAATGTCAACAAAGTCAATGATATACAATTATTGAGTATTTAAAGTAAAAAGCAATTAACAGATTTCAAGTTACTGAGGTCAGTTACTGGAAGTTGGAAGACCCACAAAGCATCTTGATGAAAAATAAATTTTAAAAATTGTTAAAAGAATACAGACAGCTAACCAGAATCAATATTATGATTACAATTTGATTTTTCTTTTTTTAAAAGTCAGCAAAATTTTCATTTCTACTTAAAAAAAAAAAAAAAATAAATAAAATCAAATAAAATCAAAGCTCAAATCATTTTCTTTTTCCCTACATATATTTAAAAGCAAAATTTTACCCTAATCATTTCACCATAAAAAAATTGAAAAACAAGTCACACATACACACACACTTTATAAAGACTATAAGATGACTGTGGCAAGTTCTGAAAGAATTACGAAATAAAGCTACATATTCTAATTAACATATCCCAGTAGTGATTCAATAGATTCAAGAGTTATATTATTAAAGTTTCTTGAAATTACAAGAAATTACATGTTGATAAGATTAGCCAATAAGTTTTATTTTCTCTAAATTAATTTGCAGTAAATCAATAATCAAGCTTAATGAAAGTATTTTCTTTAACACTTCATTGTAAATTGGAAATTAATACCTGAGAGATAATAGGAAAAAAAGCTGATGAGTTTTATTAAAAATAAAGTAAAAATGCTATAAACTTATTTAGACAACCAACTGAAGTTAATATTCCAAGGCCATTTGGCTATGAAAGACATTCAAATAAAACTATAAACGAGGTTGATAGTAAATATGGTCCCTGCTACTTATTCAAGCAACAAATAGCAGTCTCCCTTAATTCCTTCTTTTCTAAAAGATCAGTTACAAGTGAAGACCACGTAGAGAGAAAAAACAAATATTGCCAAGCAATTCTTTGTTTTGTTCTCTACTTTCAACCAAATTTTTCTGCAAAATGTGTTTATGCTTCAAATGTATGCAGTGAGAGCATTTTACAGAGCTATACTGGTAGGATATCAACCTCTGCCATAGAAATATTTTTCTGCAAATGTAATGTGAAAAAGCATCACTCCACTTCATTTACTTATTAACATATCAGACATTCAAGGTACTTTCTAATTTTCTTTTGTGTTGTATTGTTCATCTTCAGTGATTGTGTTAGATTGTGTATTGCTTATAAAGGGTAAAGAGCAAAAATCCAGATTACATTTGGTGCATTCCTCATTTTGGTAGCACCTCATAAATCAATAGAAATCAAAGTAGAAGGATTGAATATTGAATTTATTTTAATTCAAATAAGGATTTCTTTTCTTCAAGGTAGTAATTTTTTGCTATAAATCTTATTTTTTAATAATTTTACAAAAATAAGAAAAATTTACTTTTTGCCATTTCCAAAATCCAATATTCTTGTCAAGGATGGTGCAACAAAAATTGAAGTGTCAACTAAAAGTCCTTGGAATTACGATACCTTAATTGACCTCATTCTAAATTTATTTATATTTTTTTAATACAGACTTATTTTGGGAAATCAAATGATAAAAGGGAACATTAAAAAGTATTTAACAAGTTCATACAACCAAAAAAAACTCCTGCAAGTTTTTATTCATTTGCAAAACTAATGAAGTTGAATTATCACTTAAAAAAAAAAAAAAAAATTAACTGATTTTAAAGATCTTATAAAAATGTTACTATACCAATTTTTTTTCTCTTTCTACATCTCTATTAACAAAACCTTTAAAACTCTGGCCATTGCTTACTATAATTTAACCAATTAAAATGGGATGATGGGCATTAATGATTTAAATTATAAGCAGTGGCCATTAACGCATTATAGGTAGAAATAGGTAGAAATCTATAATACCAGACTTTTTAAAAATAAATGTATCTGATTTCTATAATACCAGATTTTATGATGAGCTAAGATAATGTTATATCAAGTGTCCCAGATTAGCACACTAAACTGTTGCTATTGTTTCAGTGATACAAGCAGTAGATTTAACTGCTCACCCAAATTCAAAAATCTTATGCTTATTTAATCCCAGGTAAGACTTCTACAAATTGTTTTTAGTATTATTAAGTGTACATTAATAAAAGAATGAAAAAGATAAAAGAATCCAAGTTATTTTACCTATTCTACCCACCTGTAAGCTTTCAAAAATCCACTTTCCAGCATTCACACGTCATAATGACATGAAATTAATGAGAGTCAATCTGTAGTTCTCAAATTTTTCTTAAATCTGAAGAGTTCTTACATAAAAAAAATCAAAAGAGAAAATGAATTTCATGAGAAAAACTCACAGAACAGTATTTTATGAAAAGCAAAATGTCTTAATATACAAAAAACAATTTTCTTTTAATCTTTTACTCAAATCTCTTAATATTTTATTCATAATGCATCACACTGTTCATCATTATCTAAAAAATGTTTTTAAAAAAGCCAAAGTAAAATAATTCCATCAATATTTAGTTGACATCTCTATTTCTTTCTCCCACACACACTTCATAAATTCATAACATTTATGTTGGCCTTGATTCAGACTATGTCTTAGTAGATATCACACACTGAATTGCATTAGCCTAAAATAATATATCTGACAAGTAAACCAAGCAGTTCAATTCACTATTTCCTCAAATAAAAAAAGTCAGAAATTACAAGTGTGGGTAAAGAAATATATATTTCAAAAACATAAACAAAAACAACTAGGAAGAAAGTTTTAAGGAGGTGAAGGTCAAATACAGGAGACAGAAATGCTTTAAAAAAAATAAATAAAAAATAAAAAAAATTAATTAAATAGAGGGAACTTTTCTTTCTTTTTTTTTTTTTTAATGAAAGATTGAGGGATAAAACAGTAATGAACATTAAACTGCCATATGTTTAAGTAGAAAGGCATCATTATGTAGTTTCAGTGCTTGATTTTACTGGTGCTGTATGGTCAACTAACAGCACTTGTTTATCTGAATTTAAATTTTCCTTATTTGCTGAACTGCAACTGCTATTATCACCTACACTGTTGTTACTATGGCAACTTTGTGCTGATGTTGCATTTGTTGTATTATCTGCTACTATATCCATCTTGGGTTCAGAAGTACTGGATGCAGCAGAACATTCAGAAACAGAGGTGGATGGAATTTCTGTTGGCTGTAAGTCAGGAAGAGAGTCTGTAGCCTGGACTGTGGAGCCCATAGCTGGTGTCACGCTGTCTGGAGTAACACAACTCTCTGCAGGGGTGCTATTGTCAGCTGTCACATCTGTCTTTGATGAAGAGTCTGTTACTGGTACCTGGGCAGGCTCAGCTGGGGGGGAAAAAAAAAGTGCTGCTGCTTAGGAAAATTATTGGTAATGCCTGGAATAAATCTGCTTTGCTATTTTAGGCACACACACAGATTATATCTTAATCAGATAATAAATTAAGTGAACCAATAGTTTTCATAAAAGAGTGAGGCAAGAAAATTTCTACAATTTGCTTTCAAAGCATATTTACAGCATTATAAATGTCATTATATATATTTCCATAATGCCAACTTTTGCTTTATAATGTTTGGTAAATGAATGACAAAGTGGAAAAAATTCTATGTACTGCATTTCCCCATCTAGAAAATTGATTGGCCTAAAGTTGTGTTATTGTTGATGGAATTATATATGCGTAGGAGGGGGAGATATAAAAATGCAGTTATTATTATGCACCAACAGGAAACGCTGAAGATATTGGAATGCTGAAAAGTTTAACATTTTTAAATTTAAGTTGTTTTTTTTTTTCCAGACATGTCTTGGCATGTTATCTAGCCAATTTCATTCAATGAAAGAACTCTACCACAAAGACACTTAACAGCATTAAGAAACCTAGCAAAAAAATAAAAACATTTACATCATCTACTCAAAGAAAGGTGGATTTATTACGAATAGGAGAACAATGATAAAATTACTAGTAAATGATAATGAGAAAATAGATGAACAGAAAATAATCAGAGACACAGAAATTTAAGAGAGCAATTAAAAAATTAGTAATGAAAACAAGTCATTGTATAAACTATACCATCCTAGAATACCCCAACTTTATGGTCTCTCTAAAACCTATTATGCAGGCACTCTAATGCACCCCATTATATCAGGAATTGTAGCACTCTCCAAAAACTGACCAAAGCCATAACAAAAATTTTAACAGCTTTCTTTGGAATAATCAATACAGTGTAACCCGGATATAAGAGAGTTGTCGGGGACTGGAGAAGAAGTCTCTTATATGCGGGTTTCTCTTATATCCGGGTTTGGTCTATTTTGTTTAGGCAAGTATGGGAACACTTTGGGACCAGAGAAAATCTCTTATAACCGGGTTACACTGTACATCACATTAAAAATTCTGGTCAAAAAACTAAGGGGAATAAATATGACAGGTAACTCACAGGTTGCTTAAATTTTATACCACTGTCCTGGTTGACAAATGCTAAATATTTTTTTTAAAAAACATCCCAAATAATTATTGAATTCTATTTAAGAGAACTCAGAATTGGTAGTCCTCAGTATTTACATAAGGAGAAATACATTGAAATTACTTTTAAGCTCCTCCAATACTGTAATTATTTCATATTCAATGCTATACAGAAGGTTCATCAAATATTTCAAAATAAAAGAAACTATTCAAGCAAATCCAACAAATCAAAATATTACTCTACCTACCAGCTCTATCACTATTACAATTGAAAAGAATTTATCTAAGCTTAACAAAATGTTACCGTGCTTTACCAATTTAGCCAGAGAGGAGCCTTTCGGTTAACAAGGTTATAATTGTAGTTTAAAAACAATAAAATGTTACAACTACTTCCAAAACAATAAGAGACTTAATACAAAACAATAAGCTAAAACTTGGAGGAATTTACTCTATCATCTGTAATGATTGCTATAAGGAATAAATAACCAACTTGAGGAAGTTAAATAAAAGATTATATGAATATAAAAGGGAAATTTTACAAAACACACTAAATGCAGTAGTTGCTCACCATAATGAATCTAACGATAATTTCAATTTAAAAAATGCATTTAAAATGGAAAACAATTTACCAAGGTGAAAACTGTATAGAAAGTGGTTTGATTGCTAGATTTGTATCCAGGTTCTTACATTTCACTTTACTTGGCAGATTTATTATCACAATGTGGGATACTTAACAATAAAAATAATAAGGAAACTGAATGAAATCAGCTAGAATACATGACAAGACATATCTATATAAAAAATTAATTTTCAGTTTCCTGCTGGTGCATAATTATACCAGATGCTTGCATTTTTATATCTTTTTCTGTTTCCTACACTGTTAACAAAAACATTAGTCTGATGAATTCCTTCGAGAAGTAAAAAAAATGTTACACAGAATTTTTCCTACTTTGTCATATATATATATATATATATATATATAACATTTATACATCATATTCTACTATAATAATGTTTCCTTACAATAAAAAAAAAAACATTAGAGGCTACAGAATTTGAATCCTGTTTACAACCTTCTTAAAATCATTTTTTGAGTAAATTATATTTTCTAGCACAAAGAAATGGAAGCATTAACATTATTCCAGATGAAATATTCAAACTTAAAGTAACAATAATAGAATTGGTCAACTCACATTTATGAACAAGCAATGACAAAATGCAACAGAATTATTGAAGTCGACAAAAATAGTTTATGTAAAGATGAATGAAGTCATTTTTCTTTCCGAGACTAATGACTTCCAAAATAATTTTAATACTAACCAGACAAATCATTAGAGGATGGAGTAGAACTTTCAGCATAGCAGCATTTGTGACCTACAAACAAATTTAAAAAAAAAAAAAAAAAAAAAAAAGAAAAAAAGTTGTTTATCTTTTTTGGTAGAGAGGTATTAAACATTTCTACTTACTAGAGAAACTTGTGGAATTAGATCAACCCAAACTACAGTAGTATTTGGGTTGATGTTCTAATAATAATTTCTTTTTCTCCATTTGCTTCATTAACAAACATTCAAGAGGCAAAAAAACAAAAACCGAGAAAGACAACACATTCTTTCTTACATACAGCCAATCACTGACATTCCTATTCTCACTCACAAAGGAAACTCACATTCTTCAGCTGGTGGAGGACTTTTCTGAGCTCGCAATCGTTCTTGTTGGGCACGGCATAATGATTCTAATTTCTGGATTTTAGTCTGCAAAAGGACCCTTTCCTTATCCATTGTGGTTTTCTAGAGGAAACAAGAAAAGTAATGTTCATTTTTCACAGAATGAAATAAAAAATACCATCAGTCTTAAACTATATTATAACATTTTTGGAGGGGGGGGTATAGGTATATAGATAAGATACTAAAAAAAAAAAAAAAAAACTCACAACCAAAGATTTTTTTTTTAAACTTTATATTAAAATTATGTACCCTTCTTAAAGGTTACATCATTTTAGTGAACAAATTAAGAAAAATGTTAAAATTGTAATCTTATGATTGGAATTAGGAATTTTTTTTTTTAAATTTTAAATTGAATAATTCAACATAGCATTTTTTAAATCAATCTTTATGATAAAGTTTTGATTCTGAAGAGCATTTTGTAGTAAAATTAATGTTAAAAACTTAAAAATAAATGACAAATCATGATAGTAAATTTAAATTGCAACAAAGCAAATGTAAATGAAGCAGATACTTTTTAACATTCAAGACTTCTTCATTGGCCAAATCAACTGACCGAGATTTCCACCTGTAATACTTCTCAATAATAGTAAATCTCAGTCAGTTGATAAACTTGATGGAATGAACTAGTGCTGTAGTCTATCCATTTAACTTATATTTCATGCATATTCAAGTCTAGCAACTTAGAATCACACTCAATCATCCAAGTATTTTGTACAAAAATGGCACAAAAACATTTACTTAGGTATTATTATTAATAGTTATGAAAAGATATTTTTTTAATTTCTAATTAAAGAAAGAGTACTGATTGCCACAAATAAAACTACTGTTTTGGTTGGCCTATCAAAAATCTTTTAAACTTTTAATTAAATTTACTCTATATGAAAAGATTTAAAAAATATTGTTGTTAAACAAAGCGTGTGGAAAAGATCTTGGTCCAACCCACTTAAAAATTGGACCAAATGACCAAATTTTTTTTTTTTTTTGAAGGACATCTAGGTTAGGCTATTCAGCACTTGCTCATATATGAAAGTATTTTTGTTTTGTTTGATTACAGGTACCTTTGTACAAGTAATGGTCAGAGTATTTTAAAAGAATGAAAAGTCTGAACTTACCTGATCAATCATTCCTAACAAGGCCTTGTTACAATTTTCCCATTTACTTTTCCAAGCTGCACTGTCTTTCTCTAATTTCTTAATTTTCACAGTCATCTGCAATGTAAGAAAAAAAAATAACTAAGAAATTTATTCATTATGCTATTTGCAGAAAATCAAATCGAATATTCATTTTTAAGTCCTCACCAACTATAATTTTATGTGGCTTCTATTCAAGCTATCAGTTCACAGATATTAGACACAGAGAAAATCTAAATTGTAAAATTTGTAAAACACTCTTCTCATTCTAACTTGGTTTGCAGATTAATTTGGAGTTATCAGTTCTTCAATTTAACATTACTGCTTTAATAATGAATTATGCTTAAATTAAAAATACTTTCTTGATCTTAAATAAAAATGCTATCAGTTTACAAACTAGTTAGTTTAATAGAAATGATTTGGGCTTAGATATGTTATCAACAATAAATATCCTCCTTTTGAGCTATGTACAGAAATATTCCTATAAATACATACATCAAACTTCAGACAACATAAATGTACCTCTATATACTGAACACAAGCTGTTACAACTAACCTGATGTAAATACATTTTTTTAAGTGCTTTATTAAATTACATCAGAAAATATTACCCTTAATTGATAAATCAATTAACTGAAATTAATGACATTAAATATTCATGGGGATTGTTCCTATGCTTCTACTATTAAAGTATTTAAGGCACTGAGGATTATTTAAGGTGACAGGACAATATCTAAGCTTTTTATTAACCTCAAGAACTAAGACAAAAACATTAAATATAACTATGAATAAAATTACATTGTTCTGATTTCAATGATTACAACTAAAGTAAGTATTTAAAAGAAACAATGAGAGGATTTTAAATTCAACAATAATATTTATTAAACTTAACACAGTATTTATTAACAAGCAATGTCTTAAGAGTAAAATGCAATGGAAAAATATACTATGAACCATTTAGCAAAATTCTTTTTTTTGCAATAAAGCAGTTTATTTGAAACCCAAAAGTATTGAAATAGTGGATATTTCAAGAAATTTGCTTATAAAAGGATTTTTTTCTCAAGACCATCAAATACACAAATGACAAAGTTATTAATGTACATGACTAATTTTAGTGTCCTTTATCTGATAATTTAAAAAGATTTTTTAAATACAAAATGTCTAAATAGTGTGTTGTGCCATGAATGCAAAAATAGGTTGCAAAGAATTCTAAATGTCTGACCTCCAATGCAAATCAAACACTAGTTTTACATACAGCATAAGAGCAGAAATTAAACACATACAATTGCTTAAAGAGATGTCAGTTTCTAATAGCAATGTTAATTATAAAAAAAAAATAGAGATTTTATTTTATTTGAAATGAGACTGACTGTCTAGTTAAATAGAGCACAACTATATTCACAAAACAATTTCAAACCTATTACACTACTAATGCTTTGAAATATAATTCACTTAATGAAATAACCAAATTTGTCTAAATTTCTGTAAAAATTTTAATAGGATGAATTTGAATAAATGCAAATTTCTCTTAAGAAAAGCTGCAAACTTAATAAGTTTCATGTAATATCTGGAAATTATGATAAAAAAATTTCTCAAAATGTCACCTTATCCATTTCTCCTCTAAGTTTAGCAAACATTTCATTGCTTTTGGTGATTGTTGTCTGGAACTCATTGTACTGATCTTTATAAGTTTTAACCTATAAAAAACAAAAATAGAATCATTTGCATTTGATTGAATATTTATATATATTTTTTAAAAGTTGAGAATATTTTTCTAAACCAAAAGAACAGGACAAAGTCACTTGGTCTAATAACATAATACATATGAATGTTTTTCCACTTCACTATAAGCTTCATAAATGTACTTGCATGTATTATACTCAGATTAAGCTTTCAGTACATGCACAAAACACCAACAATGTCAATTTCTGCAGCCTAATTACAGAAGGTTTTTGTAATTGTTTTTATTTTACTTTTAGGCATATACATAGCATTCAATGCAGTTTTTTTTCTTTTGCAACTCCTGTATATAGCTTCTTTTATCCAATGCAGATTTCAATCAAGTTCCCTATTGATTATTTTAACCTCAATCTAAAGAGAACTATGTAAGCAGACCCTTTCCTTTACATATTTATTCAACCTCAACAGTCCTTTTTATATTTTCCTCACAAACTTCCAACTTTGTGAAAAGGTACTCCTAATAATTTCTGTTAGACTCTCTGGTGTGAAAAGAATTTATTATTTACACTCAGACTATTGTCCTCATGTAGATCTTTAACATTCCACTACCCATGTCTAGGAATATTTTGTCTAGACATGGACAATTGAATGAGAACAATCTACTCCCATAGATTAAATAAAGGGTTCAGTTCAAAATTCCCTGTAGGTTGCCTGGATCAAGAAGCATCTGATGAAATCAGAGTATACAACGGCCAAAACAAAATGGTAATAACAAAAACGAAGACAATAGTTCAAATGTAAAGAAAAGGTAATCCTGATATTCAAATCCGCTGCATATTTACAGTTACTTCTCCTGTTGTCTTATAGCGGGTATCTTTTGAGTTTGTCCTTATACAAGTAGAATTCAATGTTATTTGAAACCTACACTGGCGAAAATAAGTTTAAGATAATATAAATTAGTGTTATTGTGTACGCTTGATACAGAATTTTTTTTTTTTTCGAATGATGTAAAAATTGTATATTTTTCCACAACTTGAAAAATTTTAATGCTGGATTAATTTAAATTATCCAAATTTGCCAGTGGTTTAAGTCTAATGTAATAACCCCGCCTGTTGCAGTTCTGTCTCCCCGGTGGTTCTGGCCGAAAAAGAAATCCACCTGATCTTCCTCCGGTGAACTGAAAGAAACCACCACTATTCGCCATGTTGTGAATTCTTGATCCGAACAGCAGTGTATCGATCTCCCCAGAACGATCCGGTGGGAAGAGGAGGGAATGGCTGGGTATTTCGCTGAAAGGAAATCACTATTCATGCAGCAAAAGTTTCTTGTCATAGCCGCAAACACATGAAAAAGAAAAAAAATAAGCAACTCCTGTTCCTGTACAAAGAGCCCTATTTAGGCCACTGTTTTTTATGTCTCTACTGAAGGATTAGCACAAGTACAAAATGTTATTAACGAGATTCACTCATTTGGGTCAGAAAGTCACAGAAAGAGAGTAGGAAAATTTCTGCCTAAACAATTTCGGCTGATCTAAGGGAAGTAATTCGTAGATCTTCGTCTGTACCTGATGATATAGCAGTCTGCTTTCTCACAGCCTTGTTGACGAAGTTATCGGGATTCGTACGGGTTCTATTTCGATCTCTTGGTTTGGATTGGTCTTCTTGACACAGAGCAACCAACAGACCAGACCAGCAAATCCCAACAAGCCGCCTCTTCTGCGTTCTGATCTCCGAACTCAACTGACTAACTCAAGCGTGCAGGCAGCTTATAAAGAGAGAGGCGGAGTTAAACCATCTTTAGCCACCGTCCCCGAATTTTAATATACAAATCGCCTGGACCACCATGTGTTTCCGCCTAATCTCCAGATCTCTGCAGGCAACCAGTTTTCAAGAGGTACTAAAATTGGATTCAGACCTCCTGCTGGATCTTCCGCAGACAACGTATACTTAAATTTTGCCAAAACCACTTATCCTGACAAATTGGATTTTTGGGTGGTTGAATTCCGCTATTCAGACCACCCAAAAATCCAATTTGTCATTTATCACAAACTTTACTTTAATGAATCCGTCTCTTAATCACTTTGGAATTATTACATGTAATTAACTAAATAACTCAACCCCAGATACAATTATTAAGAGAAAAAAAATAAACTTATTTCTGGAATTACTCCGGAATCCCTTCTACCCAAGTAATTAGCACCTTCATCCTAATTCTTTAGCACTGTTGATTACTAAATCCAAGCCCCAAGAAAAACAAGTGCAACTGGATAGATGAATTCATAGGCTTTCCGAAGCTAACAGAATGTTGACGGCCGTGGACAATTGCAGCCAATTATCTGATAAAACTGGCGTTAGTTTTATGCCACAAAGTGTCTGAAACAATCAGTGAGAATTTGGATTATTTGGGCACATTGTGAGAAAAAAGCCAAATGTTTCGGAAAGGAATCAACTCAAGCAGCTGAATTTCATAAAAAGTTACAGTCAATGGACAGTCAATGACTGGTGTAGAGTTCTTTGGAGTGATGAGTCACACTTTTGCATCTTTGGATCGAATGAAAAAACCATTGTCAGACGCCGCCCAACTGAGGAATTCTATCCTGTGTCAAAAAGACGGTGCAAGCAGGAGGCAGGGGTATAATGTTGTGGGGTTCATTCAGTATCTTTGGTATTGGTCCAATTATTAAAGTTGATGGAAAACTCAACAGTGTAGGCTATATGCAGCTAGGTACAGAACATGTTCTGCCATATTTGACTGACCAAATGTCATCTGGAGCTATTTATCAACAAGATAACAGCCGCATTCACAAAGCCAAAAAAATAATGCAATTTTTTGATCACCATAATATGAACGTCATTGAGTGGCCTCAACAGGGTCTGGATCTTAATCCAATTGAAAATTTATGGAATTATATTTCTAAAAGAGTTCACACTAAAAAATGACAAATTTAGTCCAAGTATATGATTACATTAAGCAAATATGGCAGAGCATTTCAAATGATTTTTGTGCTCACCTATCAAGTTCGATGCCTAGGCAATGTAAGGGTGTAATTAATAATAAAGGTCACAGCACTAAATATTTTGTTTTTTTTGCTCATTTTTACTATAACCGTTTGCTTTAAATATAATAATACCCATGTGGTCTTAAACTTATTTTGCCAGAAAATTTGGATAATTTAAATTAATCCAGTATTAAAATTTTTCAAGTTGTAGAAAAATATACAATTTTTACATCATTCAAAAGAGAAATAAATTCTACATAAAGTGTACAAAATAAAAACTAATTTATATTGTTTTATTAGAAACACATTCTGAAATGAATAAAACTTTAACCATCGGTCTTAAACTTATTTTCGCCAGTAAAATATTATTAAATGATACTTTTTAACTTTTGCTTGATGGTAAGACATCAAACTGATTCTTTCTTTGCACAGCAAGGTCTTAAATTCAAATATAATCTCCCAAATTGACTTACTTTATACAGTTAAACCTGAAATTACTTATATCTTTACAAAATCTGAGATTTTAAAAAAATATTTTCATTAAAAGGAGTGATTTTTTTTCATGATTGAAATGGACATAAAAGATTGAGAGAAAATATACATGGAGTAGAACTATGTTATTGAAGTATAAATTTAAAATTTGATCACAAATGTTCAAAATGATTTACTCGTATCTTAATAATAAATTGTAATGCCTTAATTAGGTTATGGTCTGGATTCTGACTTGGTAGCTCTAAAACATTGATATTATTGTCCATCAACTATTTATTCATGAAATGACTTGTTCTGGATCATTGTCATGTTAGTAGGTCCACTAAAGTTTCAGTTCATGTTTTTTTGAGCAGACTGCTAGATTCCTTGGTCTAAAATCTAAATATATTGTTCTTCCTTCAAAATCTCATCCCCTTTAACCAGACTACCAATACCACCACAAAAAAAAAAACATTCACATAAGCATGGTAATGGCATCATTATGCTGACTCTTAGGAATGTGTTCTTTGGGTTAAAAGTATCACCTCCTTCTTCATCAAATGAAAGCAACATCCCAGTGGCCAAGAAGCACAGATTTTGTTTCATCTAACCAAAGAATTAATAATCAAAAGCCTGAATCCTTCTCAAGATGACTTAATAAAAAACAAGCTTTTACATGCATGACTAAGAGCATTGGTATTTTTTTGGAGATCATCCTTAGCAGTCACCCTCATGCAAAATTCACTGGAGTGTCTGCCAAGTCATTTCAATATCAGAGCCATTTAAAATGGCCAAAATATACCTTTGGTTGTGATTCTTGAATTGTTCTTGATATCTCTGAGTATCTTTTCTTGCCATATAAGATGACAACTTAAGTTTCATTTCTTATCATTTGAAGTTTCTTATGGTGTAAATAGTCTACAATTTCTTGATACCCTCTGAACTGTTAAAACTGGCACTTGGTTATGGCTTAAAATGTTTCTCATCTTTGTGAAGTCAATCTTTAATCAAAAGGTCCTTAATAAGTTTGTTAATCTTTACCATGGTGACTTATTACCTTCAGATGAGAAATGACAAAGATTGCAAATGCTACCCTATATTTAGTTTCAACCCTGAAGCATACAATAATTCACACTACCATATGAACTTTACCGGCATTCATTTTAAAAGAAATTAGGAACTACCTAATTTAAGAAAGTAAACACAAATCCATTCCCGTATACATTGCCTTTTGTGATCAAAATGCAAATTTGTTACTTTCACTCTTTTTCTTTTCTTTGTCAATTTGGGTGAAGGAAAAGCATTCCTATATTGAAAATATTTTTCTAATCAAATATTTTGCAGGGATATGAATAACTTCAGCCTGGACTATACACTTTAAACATACAGACTGTGGAAGTCAACAGGACTTACAGGAAACCAAATCTGTAATTGTGTTTTTCTTTTTAATATTGAATTGTACTGTGTATTCATATCCACCTACTGGTGGTGACCAAAGTATGAATATATAATTTCCATACCTGAACCAAAATACTGGCTTTACTTTTGTTTTAAGCACCAGTTTATAAAAGACCTCTAAATATCATAAAGATAGCATCGGTGTTTGGCACATGTACTGAAAAAAATTGTATTTATTCAGCTGATTTACTTTTAAAACAGATTTATGGATTACTATTCCCTGCCAGAATATAGGATTATCTAGAAGAAAAAATGAAATCCTGAGAAAGATGGAAAACTTCACCTAAAATGCTGCAATAAAAACAACAAAAGTGAAAATATGAGAGCAAATAATTCATGAGTTATTACAGAAAAAGCAATCCACATTACTTATTATAAATATCTTGAATACAATTTATCAGTAATAGAAATACATGACAATGTTCTAGTGATACACAATGTGTAATGCAAACTGATAAATATACTCATTTGATAAAACTTACATATACTAAATTTACAAAGAATCTTACTATTATTACCAGCATTTTGCAAACAAAATCTTTTTAAAACCTACTGATTGAATAAAAGCACTACTAACTTGTTTTTCTAACAAAACCATCTTGCTCTCAGTTTCAGTAGCTTTCATCAACATCTAGAAAAGACAAAAAGAATATGAAATTAGAAAAATAAGTATGAGAATTCACAAATATTACATTGCAAATAATTTAAATTATTTGTAATACAGGAATATTAAAATAATTAATATCCAACTCATTCTCTAAAATATTAGATTTAAAGTGTAACAAAAAAACAGATGAGTTTTTTTTTTCCAGTCATTAGCATGCAATGGATATAGTATCCCAAACTACCTGCTATTTTTTAATAATAAAATTCAACTAGTCCAATACACAATTCCATTGTTTATATGCTTTATCACAAAATGAACCGGTAATAGAAGTACAAGTTAGTGCAATATTTTAGTAGCCTATATGATCAGACACCAGTGGTGAAATTCAGTCTTTGCATTATTTCATGCAGAAATATTTGTTCAGGTTAAAATTGAGTCTGTAGTAGTTTAGACATTTCTATAAATGTTTAAATAGAAAAACAAAATTATTTTAAAAATAAGGTAAGAACTGAAAATAAATGTACAAATTCTGAGTTTGTTGTAAACTGAGTACTTACACTGAAAACATTGTTACCCTTAAGCAAGGATTCTTCTCTATTTTTATTCCAGAATGAGCTGGACTCTGCAAGGTTAACAGGATTAACTGTCCTTTATTATACAGAAGCATTTTGATATAATTCCTGTTTTCTCTCCTCAAAGTTAGTTTTAATAACAGTAATATTTGGATTTTAGAACGATCTTTTTTTTCTTCTTTTTTTTTACAGCTTAACTGTTAGCAGGTTATTTAAAGCCAGAAAATATTTTGTGATTGTAAGAATTCTTTGGCAATAATAATGATACAAGTCCTACTATTTAACACATAGCTGGGGAGGAGGGGGGAGAGATGAATTCATACCTTTTCCAAGAGTATTGCATGTAAGTGAATATAACAAACCCAACTGGAATTGGAACTGTTTTTTTGATATCCAATTAAAAGTTATTATCCATTACACCACTCACAGATCCAAGCTTACAGAACCTGATATTCTCAAGCAGTCACCATCTAGCAACTGACTAGGCTCAATATTGCATAACTTCACTGATCAGGCAAGAACCAGTGTTTCAACATGACATGGCTGTAAGCCTATAGATTCTAGAAGTATTCCAAAAAGGATAATGAAGACAATTTTTGAAACTCACAAATTCTCTTTCCTTCTTGCTTTTCTCTTTCTCTTCTACAAGCTGCATAGATGCTTGTTTCAATTTAGCATCAGCAAGTTGCTGTTCAAGTTCACGATGCTTGACAATTTTCTCGAAATACTACAAATGAAACAAAAAAGTATAAAAACATATCCACTTTAAAAAATATTTATAGCATTTTAATAAAAATGAAAAAGTATTCAGAAAATAACAAAAACACTGAAAAGAAAATGTCTGCCAAATAGTGTATTGTGAAAAAAGAAAAACTGACAGCTATTCTCTTAGCTGTAAGCTTCTATCTACCTCTGCAAAATTTGTTACACTATCAACAATAGGTGAACTGAATCGAATTCTTCCAAGAAGGCCTGTGGAGTTGGAAGCAATTAAGGGGTCACTGGAGTCAAAGTCAGTAAAACTATACAGTTTCCTGCTACTTTTTCTACTGTATATTTACTATTTCTTTTAAAGAAATTCATCTCAACTTCTTTTTTAAAATCATTTTTTTTGTAATTATTTTGTATTTGCAAAACTATATATGTAAAATGTCTTACATTATAGAATTTCTATTTTTATGATGTCTTTTACATCCTGTAAAAGATTATATTTCAACTTGTTATAAAGTAGTTTTATTTTTGTTCTGTACTTATTTCTTATTGCAAATTATATATGTAAAAAGTTTTACATTGTAGCATTTTCATTGTTATTTCTTCTATATCCTTTCAAAGATTTTGCCTTTAATTCTGTTAGAAAATATTGAAGAATGAATAGGCATGATATAAAAGCCACAATATCTTTATTCTTTGATATAAACCAGTTATAATGATATAGGCCTACTCAAGTTAGGGACGTATGCATAGGTTTTATGAGATTTGTAGACCATAATCACTTAATTACAGTCAGAGGTGTCAAAAATAGACGAGTCAGAGGTGTCAAAAATAGACGAGTCAGAGGTGTCAAAAATAGACGAGTCAGAGGTTTTGTGTTTCAACTCCAAAGCCCTGCTTCCAAGTTAGCATTACTGAACAATGAATCTTCAAATATGCACTTCAAATAAAAGTGGTGCTTCCTTGCCAAGAGAATTTTTATTTTACTTATTTATTTTTAGGCAGTTGTCAAACTATGCACATCCTTGAGTGTTGCTTATGAAGCTGCCCATTAAGTGCATGGCTTTCAATTGGGCTGTTACAGTCAAGTCTATCCTTTCAATCCACAGTGAAAACCAAATGTTCCTTTTCAATTATAAATGCAACATATCTGATAAGACAAATATTTACAAGAGAGATTTTTATACAGACATAGACAAAAAAATGAGTTTTAGAATTATATTAAATTTATGTCCTTACAAATTACAGAAGCTCAAAACTCCCTTTTTATATTAAGTTGTTCCTTCAGTGTCAATTCTCTCTTCTTTATGAAGACCAAATTTCCCAAGCCTGAACATTTTCATACTCATTGATAATTTTAAGCAAAACCTTCATGCTTAACTCAAGAAAATCATTGCTCATACTCTGAAAACTATTTTACATAACATTGTTTCCACCAGGAGATATTTTACATGTCAAACAATATTTCTCTTAGTTTATTACAGTTAAGTGACATTTGTAGATAACACATTTTTTTTAAAGTTTTCACACCACCAATTTAGCAACTGAATAGATAATACAATAAACTGGGACCAAGTCAGCTTTCTTACCTTTTCTCGTTGCTCATATTGTTCCAAAAAGGTTTTCAACTTTGAAGCTAGTTCTGTATTCTCTTCTCTCAATTTCATGTTCCTGTCATGATTATCCACCATTTGAGCCTGAATCTCATTAATAGTTGACTGTTAAAAGAAAATTTAATTTTCAGAAAAAAATTTAGAAAATAATGTGAGGTAGGGGATTAAACAGTATTGTGTATCATTCTGATTTTTTTTTTTAATTGACTTAATCATTTACCATCTTGGATAGATAAGATATCTACATGTGCCTAATATCTCTTACAATACTTCAAGAACTCCTATCACAATAATTTATCTACCAACTAATCTGTTAATAATTAATATATATCTTCAATATTCTTATAAAATATAGAAAACAATAAATAATATTGTTATTAAAATGCAGAAAACTAGTGTCAGTGCACTTAGTCAAAGCACATTCCCAAGATTTATTTTGGGAATGTGCTTGAACAAGCTTGAATATGGCATAAGGTCACTAGTGTGGAGCAATCAACAATGGTGTACAAGACTGACCCAATAACCACTGCACTACATAAAAGCAATCATGTCATTTGTTATCTTAACAAATTCAGTAGTAAGTCTAGTCAAAGCAGGTGGGGAATTTACATATAAAATACAATTTTGTGTGTTAAATATTTTTCACAATGCACAGATACTACATTCTGATCTTAGAAGTGTTAGAAAGCAATACAGATCCAAAGCAAAAAATGCTGATAAATGAATGACCTGGTCATTTTAACAACTACTCTGTGTGTGTATGTAACAAAATATCATTCAGTGCCTCAACAATAAACTCTCAAGAAATCTGGAATAGCCTTACTATAATTTATACAGACACCTTTATGATAATATTAGCCTCTTACTTCTCTCTTCATAAATACAATTACATTATAAGCTTCATGTTAAGACCTTTGAGTTTATTAAAAGCTTTTAAAAGGTCAACCAGACATTTTATTGCATTAAAAGTAAAATATTTTATGTAAATTGATATTTGAAATTCTTAACTAATTTTCTTCAAACACTTTGCACTTTTCAAACAAGTGTAGGAACTAAATTTCCAATATGTCTTTCACATTGCAGTATTCCAGATTCATTTAAATAATTGAATTAAGTTTATCTCAGAAATTACCACAAACAACTATAGTGTTATTAACTTCATTTTAAGTAGTAAATATTTTAAAAGTTATAATCAAGAAAAATATGTTGGGTTAATTTTTATACAGCATCAATTAATAAGTATTTTATTACCCAAAATATTAGTCTCTTCAAAAATATAATTACTGCAAAGTAATCCAAAAGTTCCAATTATTTTTTTTTTAAGTTATACATAATACACAAGTTAAATTTCATATTTTCCAATCGAAGTTATAGTGGTTTTATTTATAATTAAACAGAAATATTTTTTAATAAAATATTCTTTGATTAAATAAGGTTCACATTAAATTAAACAGGCTAATAAAAACGTTTTTTTTATTTAACCTAAAACACTAACTTATTCTTGCTAGAATTTAAATCAAAATTGCACTGGTTTAGAAATTAGAAAACAGTGACATTTAACTATTGAAATTTAGCTTGCTTTTGTTGTTACCTGAAACTTTGCAGATATTTCTTTTCGTTTCTCATCTTCCTCTTTAGCTCGAGCCAAACTTTCTTCCTGAAAAAAAAAAAAAAAAAAAACAGAGTAGAAAATATCCTTCTGAGGACAAAATACTTGATCTAAATAAATAATTATTCCAATTTGAATATCATGCTTTCAGAATTTTCATGTCTGGTAAGCCTGAAAAGCTTTTAATATGCACAAAGGTCTTTACATGTTAATAAAACACAAAGCTTTTAACATGTAAAGACCTTTATGCTTATTAAAAGCTTTTTAAACCTACTAGACATTAAAATCTTTTTATGTAAATTGACATTTGAAGTTCACAACTTTCTTCAAACACTTTGCACTTTTCAAACAAGTGTAGGAACTAAATTTCCAATTCTGATATCTCTTTCGCATTGCAGTATTCCAGATTCATTTAAATAATAGAATTAAATTTCTCTCAGAAACTATCACAAATGACCATAGTGCTATTAGCTTCATTTTAAGTAGTAAATATTTTACATTTATAAGTTATAATCAAGAAAAATATGTTGGGTTAATTGATATACAGTATCAAATAAGCTTAAGTTGGATTATCAGTAAAGATTTGAAAAGAAAAAAAGATATTTTGTCACTGTAGTATAAAATGTTCTCTTCTACTGTAAATTGGAAATTTGCCAGATCCTTGCTTTTATTATTTTTTTTTTTTTCATTTCTGAACCATGTCAACAGAAAGTGAAATTTTCAGATGTATACCTCCAGACCATCATAAAGTTCCTGTTACTGCAAAATGCTCTAAAAGAAATCCACACAAACACTGAGTGACAAATGCCTATCACTGAGAAAGCAAAGTGCCAACTTCCAAGACAGAGACGTGTAAAGTAAGATGCAATATTATATGGGGAAGTATTCAATTGTGTTGAATCTTAAAAATATTGATCATGTTTCTGAATTAATTAATCTTTGTCAAAAGAATTGCTGAGATACTAGAAAAATCCAAGTAGTAACAAACTAGATTTATAATTCATGAGATGTTGGGTATGCAGATGCTGTCAGTCAAGTGGGTGCTTAAATGTTTGAATGCTGAGCAGAAACAATATGAGGTTGAAACCTACATATTGATTTTGCAGCATTTTTTGTCATCCAGAGATAAATTTTGGAATGATTTGTCATTCAAAAAAAAGTTGTTTATGAAATGTGGTTACACTATGATCTGGAGACAAAGCAACAATCCCTATAGTAGCATCATTTATATTCTCTACAGGCAAAGAAATTCAAGATGGAAGTCAGCAGGAAAGTTATATCCATGTTTTGTATAAGGAAGGTATTTTGATGAGTATCCTCAGAATGGTCAAATAAATAATGTAAAATACTATTCTGACATAGTATACCAATTAAAGGAGACATTGAAAGAAAAACTGTATGCAGAAAGTTGTTCTCTTTTTGCCAGATCATCATGGCAAGACAATGGATGTTTTGAAGAATTTGGGTGTTGAATGCAGTCATCATCCACTCACCAGATCTTGCTACATCTGACTAATTTTTGTTTCCAATTTGAAATAGAGGAACTTTTTTAATGATTTAGGTGATAGCAGCAATAGTATTTCAATAATAGTTTTGGCCACTGAAATACAGAATTTTTTTTTTTTTTTTTTTTAGAAAGGTTAAAGAAACTTGAGAAACAATGTTTGAAGCATGTTGAACTGCAGGGTGAATATCTGAAATAAATAGCATGTTATGTATTATAGCTCTAGGTTAAAAAAAAAAAAAAAAAAACTTTTTCAGTACCTTCTAGTGTGTACAAAAATTAATGAATAAATGACAGTTTGATTTGATTGTTGAGTTTAAAGGAATATCAATCTTCATTAGGTCATTTCATGCCTATTAAGGTTTGATTGGATATCAGGATTTGTGTATTAAATTTTATTTGAGAATAAAATGATAGCCTTTATGAAAGAGTTCATTTAAAGTTAATGATTTTGGTATGAAGTTCAGTTGGAGATTATCTTATTTTGTTCATTTAATTATTTATCAATATTAGTTATTGCTTAAATTTTTGAATATATCTTGGTTTACTTAAGAAATTTATTTTATTTGGATCAATCCTGTTGAATTCATTCATATTGTTTACCTGATAATACTTTTCATGGAGCAGACTTAAATTCATACATTTTATAAGTATGTGTTCCACGGTATACTGTTCATTACATGTATAGCACATAGGTGGATCTTCCTTTTTATAGTATGTAGCTGTGGATAATAGAAATGTGGCCAAGTCAGAGTCACTCTTATTTTTCTATAACCATTTTGCCCTTCTTTAATATCTGGTTGGATTTTATACAGTTTATTATTTGTGCTTGTTCCATTCTTTTTGTCTATGATGAATTTTCTGATAATTGATCAAAGATCAGAATACAGCATTTTTATGTTTGATGGCTTCTTCTTTAATGCATTTCTTGCTTCTTTGTCAGCATTCTCATTACTGCAAATTTTAGTACGGCCAGGTATCCAATATAATATCTTTTTTTGCGTGTATTGGATTTTATTGGATTTGTAGTCATTTTATTTTTTATTGCCATAAGTGCTGAGAAAGAACCAGAGAAAATTTTGTATTTTTGCTGTCTCTTATTAGGTCAAGAGCTAAGTTAATGACTGTAGTTTCTGCTGGGTATATTGAGGCATTATTAGCCAATCATTTTTGGATTTCTTTTATTACCAAGTATAACAGCACATCCAACTTCCTCTTTTTTTTTTTTTTTGACCTATTCATATAAATTTTTTGAATGTGATCTGGATGTCTGTTTATTATATCAAGCATTTCATCTTTATATATAATTGGGTTCTTTATGTTTCTGGGATGTCTTGATAGGCCTAATATTATTTTTGGTTGTTTTTGGCCATGGCAGTATTTCTGAAGTAATGTAAATTTGTATAATGTTAGTATTTATTTCAGTTTCTAAAAGGATTATCATTCATTCATAAACTGAATGAAGTTTTAACCTTTTCTCTTTGATCAAAGAGCTTTGTATATTGAGGGTATAGAGTACACTTATGTATCAGGTTTGTGGGGTATGAAATGAGTTTAAGATAGTACTGAAGACCTAGTTTTTTTTCCTTCTCAGTTCCAGGGGCATTTCATATGACTATATATAGACTTTCATTAATGTAGTATTATAGGCCCCAAGTGCTAATCTCAGGACTTGATGATGGATAGTATTTAATGTTTTGAGGTATGTTTTTCTACCTGATCCATAGATGAAACATCCATAGTTCAACTTTGATCTTATTAATTCTATAACAGTGTTGTTGTTGTTGTTGTTTTTTTTTGTTGTCAGAACCCCAGTCTATGTGCTACCATTCTCTACAGTTATAAGACACTGTTACATTTTTTCTTTTACTTTATTTATATGTGGTATAAATGACAGTTTTTTGTCAAAAAAGATACCCAGGAATTTATGTTCATCTACAGTGAGTATTGTAGAGCCATCAATTTTAAGTATTGGGTCATTGTGTAATTTTCTTACCTGATAGAAATGTATGATTTTAATTTTTTCCTTGGAAAACTTAAAACCATTCTCTGCAGCACATCTGATTAGTTTGTTGATACATATTTGGAGTTGGTGTTCTATGAAGCTTATATATTTAGACTTATATTAAAAAGTCATCTACAAAATGGGAACAATCTGTTTCAGTGTTGATGTTTTTAGCAATATTATTTATTTTTATGCTAAATAATGTGACAGAGAGAGTATACTTCTCTGTGGAAGTCACAGTTCCTGTTCCTTTATATCTGACATTGTGGATCCCACTTTCATTTAGAAAATTTTTTATTATAATTGGTAGTGTACCCTTTGAACCTAAATTTTTTATACTCCCCATAGTGCCATATTTCCATTGTGTCATATGCCTTTACTATGCCAAAGAAGGCTGCAGATATATGTTGTTTTTTATATATATATATATATATATATATATATATATATATATATATATATATATATATATATATATATGCCTCTTTTATAAATGTTTCCAATTTAACTATATTATCCGTTGTACTTCTATTTCTGAAACCCGATTGGTATTTGGTAATTAGATTGTTAGCTTCTAGGTACAAGATTAGTCTTTTGTTAATAATTCTTTCTAGAGTATTGCAAATGCAGCTGATAAGTGCTATTGGTTTAAAATTTGAGGGTTTTAAATATTCATCTTGATATTGCTGGTTATTGGATTGTTTTGTAGGAACTTTTGGAATAGGTATTATGGTGGCTTGTTTCTAAGATGATGAGATCTTACCATTGATCCATATATCATTGAATATCTTTGTGAGATATTTTATGGATGCTGGAGAAAGTTGCTTTAGAAACTCATATTAAATTTCATCATTTCCTGTTGTTGTGTTATGTGTTTTGGATAGTACTTCTTGTAGTTCTTCTATAAAGACCAGTTTGTTATATTCTTAATTACTGGATATAAAGTTAATTTTGGGGGCTAAGGTTGTAATTAGTATGAGTAGTTCATTGAAATTTGCTTTCATAATTCTAATGTTCCATTAATATATTTTTGGTTATCATCCTAGGTTTATTGATTTTAGTAGGTTTATGCATTTTTTATTTTTGTTTCTGGGATGTTGTTGTGATTCTCACTTTATTGGTAAAGGTGAGAAAGTAATTTTTCATTAGTTGGGTGGTTTTCTTCTATTTCCATTTTGTTGACGTTTTCAGATCAGTTTTTTGAATCTATGGTATCATTTTTAAATTCTTTGGTTTGATTTTTTGGTTTGAACATAAATCATTGACTTGATCTACTTTGAGCTCTTTGTTTTGGTAATTCTGGTTTCTTTGATGTTTTTTTTTGTTTTTATTGGGGGTCTTTATCCATGGAAGGTAATGATGGTTGGGTTATAGATTCTTTAGGTTATCTGCTTGAACATCTTTTCTTCATATTTCTGGCTGATTTGTGTAGCAATCCCTAATCAGCGAGTTGTTAAATTTGGGTTGTTTTTGGTATTTCCAGTGTTAAGTTCTAATTTTGGTTTGATAAACCTTGGCCAGTCTTCTGGTCCCAGTTTGTAGCAGTTTCTGAGTAAGATCCTTGTATTTCTCTTCTTGCTTTTGTGTGTCATTTGTGGTTGTTTTTACTACTTGCATGTTCCATTAATAAACTTGCATGAAGGTTATTTTCTTTTCTTGTGGTATCTACAATTTTTGTCACTTCCAAGAAGGAAAGGATTTTGATGTATTTTAGAGCTAATATTTCTTTTTTTCCATTTTTCACAAACTCTTGCATAGACTGGATGATTTCCACTAGTTTTTGCATTTGCAGATTTCCTGACACTGGTCTGTGGTATAGTCAGGATCCTTCTCCCCATATCTCCCACATTCCACCTGGCTGTTACATTTTTCTTCATGATGGACATATCTTTGGTATTTATAGCAACAGAAAGGGTTTGATATAAACAGTTCCACATTTTCTATATTATAACAGATTTTCATTTTTTCTGGTATTTTTGGCATAGTCAACATCATAACAGATATTCTTTTTATATCAGTTATTCCCCGAGATTTTAATTCCTTTTTTATTTCTTCAACAGTGCAGAAGGAAAGCTCCAGGCTTCTAACTACTCTCTTGGATATACTTAGAGTGATGTGGGTAACTGATTATTTTTTGGTGTGGAAATTTTTCATTTTTAATAGAAAATTAGCATACTTCTTTTTGTCTATTTGAATACTACTGTTTCTTGGGGTTTTGACCGAGACAGGTTTAATATTCACTGATATCATTTTTACTATAATAAAAAGAGATAATGCTGATAATGGTATTTCATCCTTTGCTTCTAGAACTATATATCTTGGGAATTCTTTAATATGTTGCTTCACTTTCTGAACTCAAGTCCACATAGGGACACTAGGTTGGTTTATTATAAGCTATAAAGGAGTTCTGATTTTTTTTCACCATTCCTATTTCCTACCAACCATGGAGTCCACTTTAACCTGTTGTCAGTGGGAATTGCCAGAGAGAAACCCATTCGCCATCCAATCATAGGAAAATGTCTGGGGTTACACAGTCATGTTGCAACCATGACCTTCCAATTCGATTGACCCCTGCTACTACCTACTAGCATTTATTTGTAAGTTAATATTGACTGTTGATCTCTGATGTTTGGATTAATGTATTAATGTGATTATTGGTTGCATAAATGCTAGGGCTTGACATGACTAGCCAATTAATCAGACTGGGCCTTTCCAACCATTCATTTTGCACAAGTAAGGGCCAAAGTGGAGTGTTGGAGTTCACATGATTCTGCAGGGTCATGGACCAATCAGCCATCAGGATCCAATCCTCATGCATCACAGGTCACCAACCACAGCAAACAAGTGCCCTGGGAGGGAGGGCTCCTTGGCTGCTCTGCAAAAGTGCAGTTGGTGTATTCTGAAGCCCTAGCCAACAGGATAGAAATGACAATTTCTTAATCACGTTAATGTTTATTAGTAAGCTTCATATTGAAAAAGAAAGAATGTAGGCTAAAGTCTTGTATCAAAAATGAAGAATTACTGCAGGCTCATCAACACACTGACAGTCAACAACACACCAACTTCTAACACAAATTGTACCTTGAACACATTTGCCATTCCAGAGTTCCCATGAGTCAACTGAGCAACTGTCTTTTTTGTTGGCTGCTATTCAAACACCACCATTGTTCCTTTTCAGGTAGCCTCCAGATGCTGTCAAATACTTATTGAATATTTCTGTTGCAATAAACACAAGTCAATCATGGTCATTCTTCCTTGCTACATTCCTTCCTGGATTCCTGACCAAAATACCAACAGCTTAGGAGCAGTCTTTTCAGCCAGAGACTTCTCCAAGTAGAGAATACACTGCCCGCAAGATGCATGGTAAGTACATATTCTATCTTATTCACCGAATACAGAAGGAATACCAAATAGTTTTTTTTTTTTTTGATGTATTCAACAATAAAATGGTTCAAGATCAAATTTATCTGCTATTGGGACAAATGTCGAAATATCTTGTGTCAAAAAAATGAAGAATTACCACAGACTTGCCAACACACCAACAGTTGCCAAACACAAAACTCAAATGATACTGTGAACACACTTGTCACTCCAGAGGGCCCACAAACCAACTGAATGACCGTGTTTTTTGTCCACTACCATTCAAAGAACACCATTATTCCTTTTCAGCTGATGCATGCCACCAAATACTTGTAGACTATTTTTTGCCACCTACTGCAATAAACACATACCAATTATAGCTGTTCTTTCTTGATACAAGTCTGCAGTTTAAGATTTAGCTCAGAGCTTTACAATTTCATATGTATTCACCTGCTTGTTTAAACTTTGGTAAAATAAAATTAGTTTAACCCAAAAGCTCAATTAAGAAAAATCCTGACTGTTTCTTATCCAATTAAAATGACAAACAGCCTTTTTATTCATAAAGTTCTCAAAGTAATACTGTACAGTCACCTAAGTTAGAAAATAAAAATTAAGTTGGGAAGAAGAAATCAATAAAACAAATGTCGACTCTTACAAAAGACAAACCCTAAAAAGAGCTACTTCAATATGGTAGACAAGAAGCTTACCTTGATAAGACGATTATGTTTCTGCAATTCTCGACACAAACTTTCCAATTGACTTTTGGCCATCACAGCTTTATTGTTCTCTAACTGCAGCTGCTCTTTTTGACGAGTCAGCTATAAAAAAATGAATGAATGAATGAATGCTAGGCAAAAAGAAACAAACAAAATACTCTCCAAAGGGGGGGGGGTGTATGTATGTATATATATATATAAAAAGAAAAAATTATGCATATTTTCTAAAATAGGTTAAAAAATTATTTCACTATAAATGTTTTAATGCAATACTTTTAGTTCACATTAGATATAAATAAACCAGTTGCAACTAAAATAAAGATAAATATACACAAAAGGTAGATAAATATTATGAAATTTATAACTTTGAAAAGAGCCATTAAATTCCAAGTTTTGTAGAATGAAACTAATTGTGTTACTATATGTCATTGATGCAAAGTAGAGTATCTTTTTAAAGGCCTAATAATCCACAGGCTGGCTACAGTGTGTGTGTGTGTGTGTGTATATATATATGTTATTGTAATGGATCAAGGCTGATCCCAGCATGTGGCACCACACCATGGGGTGATCCAAGCCTTGTGAGTGAAATTGGGTAGACAGAACTCTTGTGGGCCATCAATAGCTGTGCTAGCACAAAACCCAAAATCATTGTGGCTGACGTTTTGAGTATGCTGGCCTTGTTCAAATTGTTGATCACACTAGATAACATGCTCTCTCCCAGAAACTGTAACTAAGGTCTTCTCAGCATAGTTGCGGTAAAAACCACAGTTGGGCTCTGTGGGTGTTGAGCAAACACAAATGTGCCTGAGCAAGCATCTGCAATAGGGATTGGCTAGCCACCCTAGTAGACGGATATCCTCAAATACAGCCAGATATATATGTAAATAAAAACAAATATGCAGAATTGCATATGAATTTTAATTCAAATGCACCTTTCTATGTTAAGAAAAAGTTTCTTTGACTTCAGTAGCATAGATAAAATGTCATCAACAGCAAGCTCACAAATTTGAAAGAATACAATTAGTACTCTGCATCAACTATGCAATTACAGCAAGACTACACAATGTAAGAAATGCAGACTAATACATCTAAAGGATTTGTGGACACAATAGCAACAAAGCAAAATTACTCTTCACTGCATCCTTATAAGAGAACATGACAAAAATGCATTTCTAACATGCCATGCAAAAGTGGAAATGGAAAACAATAAAAAAAAAAAGCAATCTCTTTGAAGATAAATTCAAGGTGAAAAAACGGCTATGTGCAAAGAAGAGCTAGAAAAAAAAATCTAGCATAGCAGACCATATGCAGAGAGAAAGAGAGAGGCATATATTAATCACTAGCAGCATGACCCGGCATTGCCCGTGCTTGATTCAAAAAAACGTAGGACTCATACAGTAATCGCTATCACTTGACTTAAA